TATATATAAAGTTAAAAATAATATTTATATATCTAATAGATTATTTTTTCAAATAAATGTTCAATTATCGAAATAAATGTCACAATCGTGTCTTCTCTTCGAAGCCAGACTGGGCGGCGCGATGATTTGCGAGAATTAACGAATTAATTCCCGAATTTATTGCGAATTAAGTCTCGCAGGATATTTCCGCGATATATGATGCGGTGTGCGCGCGTGAAGGCGCGCTTACGCGCGGAGGGATGCGTGCGCGCAACGCGGGGACCACCGCCACACTTCCCCTTCTTTCGCGCTCGTGATCCACCACCACCCATCCTATATGTACCCGGAAGGTCTCCCGCCTTCTTCACTATCAGTTCTGTCGCGGCCGGCATTCGTGCGAGCTCTACGTACGATTCGACCGTCTCCTTTTCCTGCCGAGGCTCCTGCCGGATGGCCGGAAGCCACAAACCTTCCTTCGGTGTCCTCGCGCGCGACCGCGTTTCTCCGCCGCCGCGTCTTTGTGTCTCTTCCTTTTTACACGGTTCTTCCGTTATAATAAAATTCGCAAATAAAAATTGGCAACGGTGGTTTGTTTTTTTTTTCTCTTCAGATCAAGATTCGACCGCGCGCACAAATTTTTATCGCGCCGAGATGCGGGAATTTTTCCCGACAAGAGTGAGAATTGAGCCATAGGAAATCTATCTGTTGGAGAGCCGAATGGCTGAACAGACACGGTGAGTGATGGAACTTCTTTTTTTTTTTTTTTTTATAAAACACGTTGCTCCGAAATTGAAAGACACTTTTCGAGTTTTCAGTTCGTACGAATTTCTGCTTGAACAATTATTTAAAGAATTTATTTCTTAGGGCTCCGAAGTTTCTAAACTAATAAATGTATAGAATTTTTCTATCTGCTTATTTAAGGGGAGATTGAATTTGTTCAGAATTATAATTATCATTAAGTTCTAATTTGCAATATTTAATGTTGCAAAAACAAATAGACAGTTTATAGCGGACTTTAAAAAATTGTCGATGTTAACATATTTATTGACAAAAAAAAAGTGAAAATATCCGGTCGTGTTAACCAATATATAAAATAACAATTAACCTATTAATAATAATTAACCGATATATAAAAAAACTTCATTTGAGAAATTGATGTTCCGAATACTATTAAAATAAGCACCGTTCTATATTTCAAGATGATCGGCGTAATGCTCGCATCTTTCTTGCAAGTGTACCTGTACGCGATCTTCGAATCATGTTTTACGCGTTCAAGGGTTGTCGGGCGAACAAAAGAGAGTGAGACGAGGAGGAGGACGCGCAAGTCGAAAAAGCGACGTGAGAAATACATGCCGGGTAAAAAAAAGCCCCGGGGAACGAGAATTTACCGTCGATTTTTCCCGATTAATTTATCGCGCGGAACGGAGCAGCACGAAGCGCGCGCTCTCCCCGGCATTCTTTCCAGCTGTTCATACAACAGATCGCGTGCGCGCGATCTATAGCGACCAGAAAAAAACCGCGCGACATAGACACTTCTTTATACCGGGGCGCGAATATAGCGACTTAATGTATCCGCGTCGTAAATTACGTCTTTTACGACTCTTATCGAGAGTCTGGTAGATTTTTTTTTTTTCTCCGCGCGAGCGTTGTTTCGTGCGGAGATCGCGCGTATGCAATCGCGACGACGAATTTTTCGCGACGTTTAAAACAGCGTCTCGTCGCGATTGAAACACCAAACTCTCCGTTTTTCGGAGCAAAGTGTTGTCGAAAATTTGAATTCGAACTGCTGCTCTTTCGGAATTTATTGCACCGCGTCTGTGCACATATATGTAGTTATTTACGCGTTCCAGATTTATAAATATATATGAAGAGAGTATTTTTATATTTTCTATGTAAAAATCCCCGATACTGACATATGTGAAAAAAAAAAAAATCGTTTGCATATTATCGCGCGCGCGATAAAAAGTCACTTGTGCGTTCCGTATTTCAAGTATCGGCAGTTTTCAAAGGTTTTTTTTCGTTAAATTGCACGTTCTTCATATTTTTTATTGGATAAAATAATAATAATTATTATTACAACACTATGTATCGAACGTATAAAAACTAATGAGGATTAGTTATATCGGAGTAACGCAACTGTAATATCAATCGAAATTAAACGCGAACGAGGTTATCAGTCGACAAGTGCAATTTCCGCGCGGACGAATAATTATCCGCTCGTAATAACTTTCGCGCGCGCACGAGCTCGGATAATTTATTAAATAATTGCGTTGTTGTAAAATGATGTTATCAATGAAAACGCGCACGCAAATAGAACATATACCACGTTAAACACCGGATTATTGTTCTTACAAATTACAAAATATACACGTTAAAACGCACACACACACATTTGCGTACAATTATGACATGTGCGTGTGTGTGGCGGTATCGAAATAATTATCAAATCGCTCGGAGCCGCGCAAGCGTTTCCAGGCGTGTCGTAAAGTTTTTTTTAAGAGGACCTCGAAGCGGATCTAATAAGTGCTGGGCTCCCGTCGTCGTCGTCGTCGTCGAGCCGACGCGTAAAAGCTTGGTCGCGACACTTTGGACAAAAAAAAAAAAAAAAAAAAGCAGGAAGCTTAACCTTCTGAAAGTTAAGACGATCAGCCGACCCCAAATGGCCCTCTCTCTCTCTCTTTCTCTCGCTATCCTTTCGTTTACGGAGCATCGTGATTTGTTGCGTGGCGCCTTTCTTTCTATATCACTCGTTCCGATAATGAGCTCTACCTCTTTCTTCTTTTCATGCACCGCTTGGCGCGCATCATCAGGACCTGAGCCTCGGAGCGGATCCACTCGGGATTTCCGCGTTGGGATCCGCAACAATCAGGATGGAGCTCGGGTGAGTACACAACAATAGCGCATTTATCAAATTTACAAGCACTTTATATATATATGTAGTTTTTTTAAAAATTATTTATTGTATCTTTATAAAGTTACAAAGCAAATTAAATCGTTAAATAAATCGCTATATTGTTGTGCGTAATCTTGCTCGATCGAATAACAACGTTGCGAATTTCCTCGTGGACGAACTTAGACGACTCGGACGCGATACGATGCTTTGCATACTTGATGATGTACGCGCGCATTGATTTACATACGCTTATTGGTCACGTGACACAAATCCGGGCGCATATATTTATCGAACTCTATTAAATTGTTTGTTTCAAGTGTGTTTGCGTATAAACTGACCTGTTTCTCGAGAAATGAAATTGTTTAAAGAAAGACTTTACTCCGTTTATGCGCGCAATTTGCGGATCACCGTGTGTGCAGTTTGCTCGCGCGGAGGTTTGCAACCACGAGAGAGCGAGCACATAAAAGCCACATATATCCAACGGTCTCTCCCCGTTCACACACGCTTACTGCGCTTGTATATCGTATGTCGAGCTCTCGGACGAGTGTCGAGCCGATAACCTGAAACGAACGAGGGCGGTTGTTTCGCGCGCGAGCGTTTCCGAGGTGCGAATTCAAAACCAAGACAGAAACCGCGACGCGCGATTAATATCGATTATTTGCGTAGCATCATCTTTCTCTCTCTCTCTCTCTCTTTCTTTCTTGGTGAATGCAAGAGCTTAATTGAGCCCGAGCGACGGGACACGTAAACGTCACGTGTGCGCGTTACGTCCATTAGCCGCGCCTTCGAAAACGAAACGTGTCAGAAATCTGAAGAGAGCAGACGTGGCACGCCACGACGCTGCGCGAACGTCGCTTTGATCTTTGCCGCTGTGCGCGCGCGAAACGCCAGCAGTGCGGATGGAACTCTCGCGCGTTTCCATGTCGCGCATCATCCCCTGTCGAGAGATGCACCCGCGCGCGCGCGATCGAATCGCTTGAACATTTCTTCTCGCCGTGGTGCACCTTTTTTATTCCCTCCGGAAATATCTCCCGCGTCGGAATTCAGTGGATACGCTAAAGAATCGCGTGGTCGTAAAAAATATGCCGGATTAATTTTCGTACGCAGATTTTAGTTTTTTTAATCTGCAACAAAAATGATGATTTTATTGAGAAAAATTCCAACGTCTCACAGAATTGTACGCGATGCGTAAAGTGAATGTTCCTAATGACCGAATTGTATTTGTCAAAAACACAATTACAAGCATTTAGGGTAAAAAAACCCAATTACCGTCACCTGAATAACAAACTCTGGCGTTAGCGAATTGTTTTTACTACTTATTTATCAAAACCATGCGTTTTTCTTCTTATCTGATATTATTCGATGTCTCTGATATAAGGAACGAAACAATACCGTCTCTCAAAATCTTTATTTTTATTTATAAATTTAATAATTAAAAAAGAACGATGCAATTACTGTCACCCCTAAAATGAAAGAAATGAGACGCGAATGTTGAGTGCTGGATTTTTTGTTATATTAATTGCACTTTCTATGTTAGATTGTTTTCATGCATAACTTTTTTTAGGATTTATTTAATATTTTAAATAAAATAGCTTGGGGTGACAGTAATTGGACAGGTGACAGTAATTAGGTCTTTTACCCTATATGTAAACCCTATACTTTTTTACCCTATATGTAAACTTGCAATCAATGTATAATAATTATTAGATATTTAAATCAATATATAATAATTAGTAGATATTTAAATCAATGTATAATAATTATTAGATATTTAAATCAATGTATAATAATTATTAGATATTTAAATCAATGTATAATAATCACAACAATTCAACAATAACATAAATATTTTTACTTTGCAGAAACTGCAAAAAAAAAAAATTTTTACTAAGTAAAAATATTACCTTTTTTTACTAAGTAAAAATATTTATGTTATTGTTGAATTGTTGTGATTATTATACATTGATTTAAATATCTAATAATTATTATACATTGATTTAAATATCTACTAATTATTTTACATTGATTTAAATATCTACTAATTATTATACATTGATTTAAATATCTAATAATTATTATACATTGATTTAAATATCTAATAATTATTTCTCAAGCAAACGTTCGATCATTGGTACATGTCTGATCATTGGGGTCTTATAGTCTCTACGAGTAATCAGTCCACATATTGTTGACTTCAAAAGTCGTTGTCGAACAAATATCATATCAAATGATATAATCTCGATAGCTGAATTGGTAAAATTCAGTCCGTTACAATTCGCTTTATAATAAGTTGATCTGACATTTCGTGTAACAACGACGAGAAATACGATTCGAAATATTTTTTTCCGATTACAACTTTGTCGATTATAACTTTCGCGATGTTTTTTTGATTGTAATTTTCCCGGTCGTAAAAATTCGTCGAATAAAATTTTGTCGAACGTACGTACATTTTTCCGCCAATCGGATCGGCGCGCAATCAAAGTATCTTCGTTACTTATGCATTTTACTACGCACGGCATTTGTTATCAGCACACGGTGACACGCTTGAAACAAAATTACACGCGATCTCGGGAGTCGTTCCCGCGCGCGCAATTAATAATCCGCGACGACTACTGATTAACGTCATTAGACAACGTAATGGAGCATCATATCTCGGCAACTTTTAAAGGCGCTTTTAATGACGCTTGAGGCAAACTTACTGGCAATTGCAAATCGAGCGTTTCCATTTCGCGCGCAAACGACGCGCGTTCCGATCGATTTATTTCAAACCAGTAGAGAGACTACCGCGAAAAAGGAAGACCGAGCGAGAGAGAGAGAGAGAGAAAGAGAGAAGATTCCATCACAGAAACGGAAGATAGAATTGCCGCAATGAACTTGCGCGCGTCTCGCGAGTACGTAATGTACAAGGAATACTATTCATAAACCGAACGGACTTATAAGGGCGGGTCTATGGCGCCTCACGGCGCGTAACCACCTCGTAATTTTCATCGTAAGACCCGTTTTTCTTATTTCACGGTTACGTATTTACGAATATCGATACCGCATCGCGCATTTAGACTGAGCGAGCACTGGAATACACACGAGGCAAAATCGCGAACCGCGTCAGCGGTGAAAATGATTTATCGCGCGTTAATCTCATAGTCTTCCGACGTAATAAGCCGTACAGTTAGTCTTTCTTGCGTTAAGTTTGTAAATTACACGGGGATTACGACTTAATTCAAGAAGACTCGGGAGACTTGTATCTAATGGAAAATAATAGAAAGGAATTATGAATTCTTACACCAAAAAAATTATATTCTCGTAAGTAGAAGATTTTATACTTAAAAAATCTTAAAGATTTTAGATGATATTCTTCTGAAATTAATTATTTTATACTGATTAGAATATAAAAAGCCTCTATAGAAAAACATATATCTCACTGTCGAAAAAGACTATATTCTTAAATTAAGAATATATTCTTTATTTAAGAATATAGTCTTAAATAAAGACTATATTCTTTATTTAAGAATATATTCTTAATTTAAGAATATAGTCTTTTTCGATAGTGAGATATATATATGTTTTTCTATAGAGGCTTTTTATATTTTAATCAGTATATATTCTTATCAATATTACTATTTAGAGAATTTTCCTCTTAAGAAACTCTTCTTGGCGCCTATTTTAGTATAAAATATACTTAAAGTAAGTGGGATATCCTCAAAACAAGAATACAATTTTTTCGGTGTAACAGCTGACATTGCGCGACTTTTATTATATTGTTAATATGTGTTTACAGCAAGAGAAATTAACAATCGATATTTGTTACATATAAGTGTATTTCTTAAAATAAATTTGATTCTCTGGTTTAGTACACCGAAAAAATTATATTCTCGTAAGTAGAAGATTTTATACTTAAAAAATCTTCTTAAAGATCTTAGATGATATTCTTCTGAAATTAAGAATATATTATTTATTTAAGAATATAGTCTTTTTCGATAGTGAGATATATATGTTTTTCTATAGAGGCTTTTTATATTCTAATCAGTATATATTTTTATCAATATTACTAATTAGAGGATTTTCCTCTTAAAATAAGAAACTCTTCTTGGCGCCTATTTTAGTATAAAATATACTTAAAGTAGGTGGGATATATCCTCAAAACAAGAATACAATTTTTTCGGTGTATCCACTTTTTTCAAAATACAGCAGTCTTTTTTGAGCGTACAAAATATGACAAAAGAGGAACTGAGAAAGTGCGCACAAAAAATTATATATAAATAAACTCTTTAAATAAAAAATCGCGAGTTGTATCTTTTTTTTTTTTTGGTAACAGAACAGTTGTTTTTTTTTTTTCTCGTGAACGACATTAATCTTCCGAGAGCGAAATTCGCGTCGTCGAGGACAGCTTGTATCTTTCGTCAACTGCATATTTCTCCGCGCGCGCATGCATGAATCGCAAGTGCGCTTTGTCGAGATTCGAGGATGTCGAGACACACCGGCTCTCTCGACTCTCTCACGAATTCGTTATCGGGGCCTCGGTAAGTCGATTTCCATGTCGTTATCCGGGACCTATTAAAGACAGCCGCGCGGTCACGTGGTGTGTGCGTACCAACTGTTGCACCACTCTCAATGTGTGCTGTTTAATTTTTCTCATTCTCTCCCGACGTCTCTCCTATATACGTTCACGTTTTCCAGGAAAAGAATGACGTCGAACTTATTCTCGCGTACTCGCATAACTCGCGCGAATACGGTCGAAGCGCAATATTAAAAAAAATTAATGAATTATTTGATCAAAGACATCAAACTATATAATTGTTTATTAGCAAAGTGACGTGCGTTCGTATCTCGTCGCACATGGACGAAATAAATAAATGAAAAAAATATATAACACCATTAATTACATTTTATAATTAACTATCGCCGTTTTCGTTTGATCAGCACGGAAAAAAAAAAACAATCTTACGGCAGTAACATCGCTCACAGAATATACAATTAGAATCTCGCAGCGC